GCTTCTCCCTCTCCCACTCCCCCTGCTTGTATTCCTGCTCTCACTGTGTCTCTCTCTGTCAAATAAATAAATAAAATCTTTAAAAAAAAAAAAAATGAAACAGTGCTATCATGGAGAAAGGGTAGCCTCTTTGGTGGAGTAGAGAAGTAGGTCAGGGAACACATTCTTAAAGAGGTGACATTCAAGCAGGTATGAAAAAACAGAAAATAACAAGTGTGGCTGAGGGTGAGGGCAGATTGGAACCTTGTTCACTGCCACCAGGGAATGTAAAATGGCGCAGCCACCATGGAAAACAGTAGGGCAGTTACCCAAAAAATTAAATAGAGAATTGCCATATGATCAAGCCATTCCATTTCTGGGTTTTTACCCAAAAGAACTGAAAGGAGGGACTTGAATGGATGTGTGCCATGTTCCTAGAAGCATTTTTCACAATAGCTAAAAGTTTGAAGTACCCAAGTTCCATCAGGGGACAAAAGGATAAACAAAATGTATTATAGACATTCAACAGAGTAGTATTCAGACTTAAAAAGAAAGGCAACTCTCACACAAGCTATAACATGGAAGAACCTTAAAACATGATGCTAAGTGAAATATGTCAGTCACAAAAGGACAAATATTGTATACCACTTATATTAAGTACCTAGAATAGTCACATTTGTAGAGGCAGAAAATAGAACAGTGGTTGCCAGGGGGTAGAGAGAGGAAGGAGGGGATTTTGTTTGTTTTTGTTTAATTTTAAGTAATCTCTACCCCCAACATGGGGCCTAAACTCATTACGCCAAGATTTTGAGTTGAATGCTCTACCAACTGAGCCAGCCATGTGCTCCAAGGAGGGAGTTTTTTTTAATGTTTGGTTAATGGGTACAACGTTTCAGTTTTCCAAGATGAAAAGTGTTCTGCAGATGGTTGTAATGGTTTCACAACAATGTGAATGACTTAATGTCACTGAACTTAAAAATGGTTAAGTTGGCAAATTTTTTGTTAATGTGTATCTCACCACAATTTTTTTTTTTTTTAATGAAAAGGGAGAGAAAAGAGGGGCGCCTGGGTGGCTCAGTCACTGGGCGTCTGCCTTCGGCTCAGGTCATGGTCCCAGGGTCCTGGGATCCAGCCCCACATGGGGCTCCCTGCTCCGCGGGGAACCTGCTTCTCCCTCCCCCACTCCCCCTGCTTGTGTTCTCTCCCTGTGTCTCTGTCAAATAAATTAAATCTTAAAAAAAAAAAAAAGGGGAGAGAAAAGAAAAGCAAACAGCAGTTCTCCAGGCAGCCATGAGATGGGAAGAAAATTCTAGATAGAAGCAGCAGCGATGTGTGAAGGCAGGGAAATGGTGAATTATGAACAGTGACATTTGTTTTTCTGTCGGACATTTAAAACATTATGATCATCATTACTATTCATTTAAAATCCCGATGCAAAATTCTGGCTTAATGAGATTCTAAAAAGCCTGGATCTCTTTATGCCACATTCCATATTCTCCTAGATGTCAGTCTAGTGATGAAGACCCACATCCAGTTACAAAATTATCCAGCCCCAGTTTTGTTAAGTGCAGTAAAGGAAAAGCAATTGTGCATAGAAATTGGTTCCAAAAGGGAGCCTAAGTTGGAGAGGAAGTAAGAAAAAGCTTCCCGAGGTAAAGACATTTAAATTTAACACCTGACTGATGAAAAGGCAATTAAATTAACATCTGACTCAGACAAAAAAGTCTAGGATCTATACCAGCCAGTAAGACATAGAGTAAGACTGATAAACAAAGGGGGGGGGGGTGGAGTTAGGGAAAGGGTAAAGGTGATCTTTTACTGCAGTGGATAATATATTCCCCAACCTTCAAAACTGCCCAACTTGGATTTCCAGAACCAGAAATCAGAGGCTATAAACCCCGTAAAAGAGGTTTGCCCATAAGCTCCTAACGTGTTTTCTGGACCTTTATATCTTATAGAAAATATCTTCTTAAACTCTCACTCAGAACCCAGAAGGTGTAAAAAATATCCCTGCCTCCTTCTAACACGGCGGAATTTCCCCCTGGAGACACAGCCTTGAGAACGAGGCCTTGTTCTGGGAAGGACAGAATATGCCTGGAAAGGTAGAGCCTGGCTTTCACACATTGTCTCCCACTCCCACCCCTGTCCCCATTACCCTTCCTCAACTTTCCTGTGGGTTTCCTACTTGTGATCTTGGACTATTAACGAGTCACCCATCCAGCAGCTCGATGCGATCTTAAAGGCCCCGTTAAAGGGACGCGTCGCCGCCGCCCTCCCACTTCGGGGCGGGATGCAGGTGGGCTAGGTGCGCCGGCTGGAAAGGACGCAGGAGGCGCCGCATCGCGCGTTCACGCGACCCGCGATCCCCAAGGCTCCGGCTCACCCTTCTCCTTGGTTACGAGGGAGACGAGCGGCACCCGCGGGCGGTCGCTAAAGATCTCGGCCTGCTGCACCAGCGCCTCGCGCACGCTGTGGAAGTCGCTGAGGACCACCACCAGGTAGCGGCCAACGAAGAAGCTGAAGACGTTGCCGTACACGCGGGCCAGGTCGGCCAGGAACATCTGCGGGTTCAGGGCCGAGGGCTCCATTCCTGCGGCCCTCGCCTGGCGGTGCAGCCAACTCTTCCGTCGGAGGAACCGAGGCAGCAGCCCGAAGCCGAAGTTGCCCACTACGGGCCAGGGCGTGGGCCCAGGGGGGATGCCCCGCGCCCGATGCCGCCACCGCCAGCTCCAGCCGAGCAGCGCCGCGAGGCTGAGGAGCAACAGCGCGCCGCCGGTGGGGTCCAGCCGCAGCAGCCCGGGAGGGGCGTGCAGCAGGCGCAGAGGCCAGGGCGAGCCCTCGGCGGGGGGCTCTGGCAGCCCGGGGGAGGCCATGGCCTGTGCGCCGGCGTCCGCAGCCTCAGCTTCCTCCGGCGAATCCTTGGAGACAGCGAGCTGACTGCGGGGCCGGCTCCCCGCACGCCCCCTGCTAACTGCGCTGCAAGGCGGAGGGCGGGCAGAAGAGCGGCGGAGGGCGTCCCGGATTGGCTGCGCCCACCGCATTCTCTCCACCCCCCTCTCCGCCTCCAATCAGCTACGCCCGAGCAGAAACGGGGACGCGCTCGCCCGGTGGTCCAGTTGCGCCTCTCCTCCGGGTTGGGCACGGCAGTTACTGCCCCTGACACAAAGATGCTTGCGTTCCGATTGGCTGTCGGATTTCCTCGTGTTACCCGTGTGTCATTTGAGTGTATAAACTATGCCTGATGAACAGGCCGCCGACATGACTCAGCCTCAACAGCAGCACCTCTACCTAAAGGGTCCCCGCGCCCACCTCGGTAGCAAAAAGACGGGGTTGCTGCTTTATCTAAACCGGGATTCAAAATTAAAAATAAAATAAAATAAAATAAAATAAAAATAAACCGGGATTCAGAGGAAGAAGGGACCGTTTCCTCCACTCAGAGACAGGAGGACGATGGGAGAGCAAAGTGCAGAATTTGCAGGTGCAGGAGGCTTGAGGCTGCGGGAAGGATGGGTGGGGGTGGGGTAGGGGGAGGTGGGGGAGTAAAACTCTCAGAACCTGCCACTGGCAGGAAAACTTTATGCGGAGAGCGAAAGCTCAGCGTTTATTTCAGCATGTAGCCTGGGTAAAGCAGCAATCCTAATCCAGGAATAGATAAAAAAGAATAGACTTGGAAGATTAAAGTAGCTAATAATATAAAAAGAAAATTAATCGGGGTAAGAGAGATGACAATATTATTATTGGTATGAGACCAAACCCGAAATGCTGAGATGGAGATATTAAGTATGAATTGTATAATGAGTTTAAGACAAAGTCCTTTAATCTTCCGTGATAACGGCTCCTAGGAGCTTTCCCTTCCTTCTCCTATAAGTTAAATCCTCTGATTTCTCTTTAATGTTAAGTTGACACTAGAATTGTTGATATCAGATAACTTTTTATCTACTGAAAGGTCAGTTTCTTACGACTCACTTTAATTCATCATAACGAACAATCTGTTCTTTTCCCAATTTCAGATGCTTTTAATTATTCCCCCCACACTAAAAGTTTGAACACCACGCTGTACTTATAAAAATGTGACCAAAGCGTAGTGAGTCCTTTCTATTCATTCTGTGATCCATTCTAATTTTTCTATAGGCAAGTGATGTCAGCAAAATATGCTAAATTTCAAGTCCACTCTGTTCGAATACTATTTTTGTCATGCTCTTCATAAGTTATTTTAAATTTAACAACAGCAACAAAAAACACACCTCATATGCTCTATAATTACCCATTGTTAGTTTTCTGATTTTTTTGAATTTAGAGAATTACTAAAAATTAAACTACTTGCTTGTAGATATGATCTTCAACATGTCCTGATTCTCTTTGTACTCTTGCTCTCTAAAATAGTAGCTGCTAACATCTTCCCGTACAACCTACTTAAGTTCACAAATGATTTTAAAGTAGTTGAAATGTGACTTTCAATCAGATTGTCAGAACCTTGAACTTGGCCCTGGTTAATAATGACACGATAAGTCAATAAAATCTGAAAAAATAAAGTGTATTTACGGTAAAGTATAAGCTAGCTGCCTAACAAAACGAAGGATTATGACTTCCTGCTGTAGGTGGCGTGCTTGGCCCTTTGCCTGATAATGAAGCCTCATTTCTAAGCCTCATTTCTAAGAATCACGTTTTAGGAAGGACACTGAAAGTTATCTACTCCTTCCAGGGTGCCTGGCTGGCTCAGTCAGAAGAGCGTGCAACTCTTGATCTTGGGGGTCATGAGTTTGAGCTCCACGTTGGGTGCAGAGGTTACTTAAACAGGCTTAAAAAAAAAAGTTACCTATTCCTTCCTTTAGTCAAGAACATACTCACAGCAAACCAGATATTTGAAAGTCAGTCTTTTATTCTGATTTTAAAAAGAGTAATACATAAGTATTTTTAGAAAATTTGAAAATGCAGGAAACCATAAAAGAGAAAATAATCACATTTTAATTTTTTCCACTTAGGTAATTTGTAACATTTCTGTGTGTATATTTCCAGTCTTTCCCTCCCCCCCATGTAGCTATGATATTTTAAATCTTTATTAATATTTCTATTTGTAGTATCTACATATTTAATACACATATGAACAAATATATATCATTAACATTTCCATGTTGTTTTCCCACAAATAATTTTTAATTACTATATTCTAGTCCAGGGGGTCAGCAACATTTTCCTATAAAGGGCCAAATAGTAAATATTTGGGGTTTTGCAAGCCACACGGTCTCTGTGACAACTGCACAACTCTGCCCTGGGAGTGGGAAAGCAGCTGTAGACAATATGTGGAGGGGGGGGCATGGCTATATTTCAATAACACTTTACTTATTAAAAAAAAACACACGGCAGCTGGACTTAACCTGCAGGCCATTATTTGCTGATCTCTAGATTAAAAAAAAAATCCATCGTTCAGGAATATCTTGAAATTTATCTGACCAACACCCTGTTGTCAACACATAAGCTGTGTCAGTGTTTGTTTTGTTTTGTTTGCCATTGTGAACAAAACTGATATATACATCTTTATTTCAGTAGGATAAATACCGAGAAATAGAACTGTGTACTAAGGCCGTTGCTACAGAAAACAAAATACACACACACACGCACTTTGTTGTTTTTATTATGTTATGTTATGTTAGTCACCACACAGTACATCTTTGATGTAGTGTTCCATGATTCATTGTTTACGTATAACACCAAGTCCTCATTGCAACACGTGCCCTCCTTAATACCCATCCCCTCAACCCCCCTCCCCTCTAAAACCCTCAGTTTGTTTCCCGGAGTCCATAGTCTCTCATGGTTCGTCTCCCCCTCTGATTCTCCCCCTTCATTTTTCCCTTCTCCTAATGTCCTCCATGCTATTCCTTATGTTCCACAAATAA